TTGCAGCGTCATCAGAATCACGACGCCCCCTGGACCCCCTCTTCCTGTGCCATGCTTCGAGCCGGATCGATCTGTGAGGGTCCCCGGGCCCGGACCAAAAAGGCGCGAACACGCCTGGCTCGAAAAGACTGGGACGCCAGGATCTCAGGGAAGCAGGAAAGCAGGAGGAGGAGGAGGAGGAGGAGGAGGAGGAGGAGGAGGAGGAGGAGGAGGAGGAGGAGGAGGAGGAGGAGGAGGAGGAGGAGGAGGAGGAGGAGGCCTCCTCCTCCTCCTCCCTCCTCCTCCGCCTCGTCAGGGCTGCGCCACCGACGACGCGCAGCTCCTGCGCAGGCTGCCGCTCGCTCACGGCGAGCCGCTGGCGCCGTGGTCCATGGGCCGCGCCGGCGTGGCGGCCCTGCGCGGCGCGGGCGGGGGGCGCGTCCGCATCGCCACGCAGGGCCCCTTCGTGCTGAACGGCACCGTCTCGACGGCGGGCGCCGGCCCCGAGGGCGCGGGGGGCGAGGAGCGGCATCGGCCGCACGCGCGACGAGGGTCAGGTCGGGCATGCCCTCCCACAGGGGCAACGACAGGGGGGGGCAGGCATAGGTGGGGATGCATCGACGCGCCATCGCCCATTGATCGCCGAGAGGGGCCCGATAGCCCCAACCTGTCCAGGGAGGTGCGGATTCACTATCAGGGGCCTATCGCCGATCTATCGGCGATGTTTCGCCGATTCCAGGTCGATGCATACCCCCCTATGCCAGTCCCCCCCTATCGTTGCCCCTCACTCCCACAGGCGGATTCTGGACGAAAAGTAAAACAATGCAACAAATAATCGAACATGGTCGACAAAAATTAGTCGAAGCATCGCCTCCAGACTATTGTTGGACTGTTTTTGAATATTCCTCCTGACTAGAGGGACGCGCCCGACTTGAAACGAGTAGCCGTTCACCGGAGTGGCCTTCGATGCGGGCACACCTGAGGCCCTCAGGTGGCTGAGCGCGATGCGACAGCAGCGGCTCGCGCGGTCTGGTTCGGCCCCCCCCGCGGCCCCCGAGTGTCGCGCATCAGAGGTCACTCGGTGGCGAGGAGATCTCGAGGAACAAAGACTGTCGTAAACACAAACTCGCGGAGGTCCGCGCGGATTTCGTGGATCGTCACTGTACCACCCTCTCTGGCGCGCGGAACGCGCCGGGAGCGTCGCCAGAGGCGACGCCAGGGGCTTCCAGCGCCGATCCGAGAAGTCCGCTCAGAACGCTGGGGACGAAGATCCGTACGATCGAAATGGGTACGGAAAGAATGGGTACGAATCACCAACAGCGGTCCTCGTCCATTTCGACACAGGACTCGCTGTCGGTGTCGTCGCGGGCATTGTCCATTTGCCACCAGTGGTCGCCTGCCCAACAGCGGCCGCTGTCGGTTTCGGACAACACTTTCTGTTTGGTATCGTACCGTTTTTTTTCGTACCCACTTCGGGCGTCCTCCTCCCCCTCCTCCTCCTCCTCCTCCTCCTCCTCCTCCTCCTCCTCCTCCTCCTCCTCCTCCCCCTTCTCCTCCACTTCTGTTTGGTATCGTACCGTTTTTTTCGTATCGAACCCAGACTTGCTCGCGTCCATTTGCCGTCTCGGGGGGTCCTCGCTGGGCCTTGGGGCCGTCAGCCAAGAAGGCTCGCGACGAGAAGCTGGCGCCGGGGAGACGGGTGGGGACTTTCTTGGGGGCCGCGTGTGGAGAAAACTCAGGACGAGGACGCCGACTACCCTGAGATCCGATGTTGCAGCAAAATTGCAGCATCGCACGAATTCACGACCGGGGCCCCAGACCCCATCTTTCTGCGCCATCTCTCGAGGCGGATCGATCTGGGAGGGCCCCGGGGTCCGAAATCGATCTGGGAGGGCCCCGTTTGTGAAAAGATTGCAACGCCAGGACCTCAGGGTATACTCAAGCAGGGCGTGTCCCTCTACAGGAAGAATATTCAACAATAGTCAAGACATAGTCTGGGGACGATCTGTTGTTTTTTTGCTTTAGTACTGCGTTTTTCTTTTCAAAATCTGCCTGTGAGGGAGCATGTCCGACCTAAGGGTATACACCTGCGCCGATCCTGGCCAGGCCGATCCTAGGCCCAGGATCGGTGTACAGTGGAAGCCCATGCCAAGAAGCACCCTGCTTGCCTTCAAGGGGCCCTGGGCTTTTTGGAGCTTCCATGGTTCTGTCATGGGAAGCGTGACGTTCCCACAACAAACATCATTGGACGTCCTGGGGTCTTCTCAGGGTTGGGTTTCTTGCGGAGGCTTCCTTGTGGTCGAGCTCCTCGTGTACACCTGCGCCGATCCTGGCCAGGCCGATCCTGGCCCCAGGATCGGTGTACGCGCCCTCCTGCCTTGGCCTGGAGAGCGTACACGTCATAAGTACACCGAGCTGGGTCCCAGGATGGGCCAGGCTAGGATCGGCGCAGTCTTACGTCGGGCATGTCCCTCTGCAGGAGGCATATTCAAGAACAGTAGAACAATAGTCTGGTGACGATTAGTCGTGCTCATTTCGACTATTCTTTTTTTTTTGTGTGTGTGTGTGAACTTTGAATGTTTCTTCCGAAATCTGCCTGTGGGAGGACATGCCCGACCTAAGCGTAGGTGTACCTTTGGACCTTTGGCTCCCTCCCAGGAGCGTGACGACGTTGCCGCGGGCTCTGGGGGCTCCATCTGGGTCACCTGTGAGTCGCTCGTGCAGCCGGGGGCCGTGGCCGTGGAGACCCGCGCCAGCCAAGGCAACATCTCGGGCGACGTGGACTTCGTGGACCTCGGGCGCGACGCGGGCTCCGGCGATGCCGCCGGCGGCGATGTCCTGGCGCGCTCGGGGCGCATCGTCGCCGCGGGGGGCAGCTGCGCAGGCTGCCTCTGCGGCGGCGGCGGCCGCGTGCTGGTCGAGGTCTTCGAGGGCCCAGCGCCGCGGCACGTGCTGGTGTCGGGGGGCTGCTGGAGGGCGGCCGCGACGGAGGTCGACAGCGTCGCCCCCGCGTCGGGCTGCGCGTGCGGCTCGGCGGGCCCCTGGGTGCTGAGGAGGCAGCCGCGGCCGAAGAAGTCCACCGGCGACTTCGGATGGCTGGGCCTCCCGAGCGGCGTTCCGCGCGGCCTCCAGCACAGGAAGATCCTGAAGAAGCCGGGCCAGGTTGAGGGCGCCACGATCACCGTGTTCGTGGACAACTCGCACGCCGTGGACCTGGCGGGCTCGAAGCTGTCCCAGCCCACGCCGCTCGCGGCGGTCTTCGGCGCGCCGGTGGCGCTGCAGCTCCACGACGCGGTGGTGGTGCCGGCGGAGGAGAGGCCGGAGTGGGACCTGACCAGCCTGCGGCTGATCTCGGACACCATCGGGTCCGCGCTGCGGCACCTGGCCCCGTCCCCGCTGGTGCTCCGGTTCCCGCCCCAGAACGATGGCATCGAGCTGGCGCTGTCCTCCACCCTGCAGGCCAGCGAGCTCCAGATCGCCGGCGCGAGGGAGGTCATCCTGCGGCGGAGCGCCGCCATCGACGCCGCCGTTGCGAGCATCCGGGCCGAGGAGACCATCGACACGCACCTGGGTACCCTGGGCCAGGAGGGCGGCGGCGCCATCGGCCTCTGGGCGCGGCGCGTGGTGCTCGGCGGCGGGCGGCTGCGCAGGGCCCGAGTCTCGGCCGAGCTGGAGCTCACGGTGAAGCGCGGCAGCCGCCTACTCACCAGCCACCGCCGCTGCGACCAGCTGCCCGCCCCGCTGCACGACCCCTGCGAGGAGCAGCTGAGGTCCGGCCCCTGGCGGGCTGGGGAGGCCGCGCCCTCGTGGGGGAACCGGTCGGACGTCAAGAACGTGACGTTCGACATCGTGCTCGTGGCCACGAACGGGTCCATCGTCGTGGAGGGCGAGGCCGAGGTGCACGCAGCGGCCCTGCTGCTCTGCGCCGCGGGCAACCTGACCGTGAGCGGCCTGGTGAGCGCCCGCGGGCTGGGCTGCCCGCCGAACCGGGGGCAGTCCTCGGGCGCCGCGCCAGAGGTCGGCCACCACTCCGGGCCCAGCCTCAAGCACTCCTCCGCGAGGAGGGCGTGCGGCGGGGGCGGCGGCGCGCACTGCGGCGACGGTGGCCACGGCGCCCACAACAACACGCGCGCCGTCTGCTCCGGCACCGGGGGGCAGAAGTACGACGGCTGGTGGGCCCGCGACGCCGCTACTGACTCGGCCCTGCCGTCGCACCTCCCGACCTGGTCGGCCAGCGGCGGCGGCGGCGCGTCTGGCGGAGCGGGCGGGGGGATCATCTGGGCGCGCGCCGCCGTCCTCGAGCTGGCGTCGAACTCGACCAGCATCTCCGCCGACGGGGATGCGGCGGTGTCGCTGCAGGACGGCAGCTGGGAGGGCGCGGGCGGCGGGGCTGGCGGTAGCGTCATCATCAACGCGTCCGTCGTCGTCGGCGCCGGGCGGGTCGAGGCCAGGGGTGGCCGCGGCGGCGGGTGCATCGGGGGCGGAGGCGGAGGCGGCGCGATCGGGGGGGCCTGCCTGGACGCCTCCACGGCCTGGAGCGGGTTCCAGGGCGGCCTCTCCGTGGAGGGCGGCGGCCACGACGGCAGCCCGGCGTGCCTTCGGCAGTCGGGGATCCGTGCGCAGCGGGGCGGCGAGGGTGAGCTGCTGCAGCTTGCCGCTTGCCGCCCGGGCCGAGAAGGCATCTTCTGCGCGGAGTGCAACCCTGGGTTCTTCAACCCAGAGAAGGAGCCCAACAGCACCGAGGCCAGGTACAGGCTGTGCAGGCCGTGCGCGAACAAGCCAGTCCATGCCGACTACACCTCGAAAGGCTGGCTCAACAAGTCGTGCCCCTACGTGTGCCCCGGAGGATACCCCCCCGTGGAGGTCAACCCGCTCTGCGACGACCCGTGGACGTACTATTTCGCCTTCTTCGGGGGGGTCCGTGGCGTGGCTCTCCGCACGCTCACGGCCGCCCTGCTCTTCGGGCTCTCTTTGTCCGCTGCGCAGGTCCAGAGGAGGAAGCGGCTGCAGTGGCTGCGCAAGCAGCAGCAGAGCGGCCACCTCGCCCACGGCGTGACGGACGAGATGCTGCTGCTCTTTCAGTCGGTGAGCGGCCCGCACCCTCTCGCGGACATAAACCGCGGAGGCCCGGGCCAGCCGTCGTACCGTGCCAGCCGCTCCAGCCTCGTGCGGCGGCTCTTCAAGCCCGCGTTCATGTCGCGTTCCAGGGGCGCGGCCAGCCAGCCTCACTTGCTCAGCGTGGGCGACCTCCCGTACCACGTGGCGCGAATCTACCTGCTGGGCGACAACACTCCCAGCGACCCGTGGCGCCTCTGCCAGAAGCCCCCGGATGCCCTGAAGCACCTCATCGACCCCTCTCGTTGGGAGGCCTTCGCGGCTCAGGCCCGGCTGCGCGCAACAGGGGGGGGGGGCGAGGGCGAGGGCGTGGATCTCCCGAGAGGCCCCGCCCCGCCTGCCTCGCAGGGGGGCTTGGGGGGCGCGTGGCTTCCCCGGGCTTCTCAGAAGGACCCGCCCGCCGCACCCGCCCCCTTTCGTCTGCGCGCCGCCCGAGCAGGTGACGCAGATGTGCCGGAAGAGGATGCGCAGCCAGCGCGCCGTCGAGGGCGTCCTCCGCTGGCTGTACCTCCCGCTGGCGGAGCACGTCCGCCACCGGCTGCGCGTGGCCCGCGCGGCGGGCGTGGCCTCGTACGTGTGGTCGCGAAGCGAGAACACGAGCCCGGGGGACACCTTCTGGCGGCTCACCTCGGGCATCAACTCCAGCAGCCTGGGCCTCAAGTTCGGCACCGACCGGCGGATCACGCTGGGGTTCGTCGACGTCCTCGACTACGGCAGGAACAAGCAGGACTGGCAGGTGAAGCCTCCCGTGCCGATGGTCATCGCTGCGGCGGGCGACGGCAAGTACACCGCTCCGTACCAGCTGGACTACCTGGACCCGCTCGTGCAGTCCGTCTCGCAGTACGTGGGGCGCCGAGTGTGGCACCAGGTGCTCCTGGCCTTCAACCTGCTCGCGCGCCTGCTGCCGTCCAGCCCCTCGGAGGAAGACGCCAAGCTGCTCCGCCGGTCGCTGGCGCGAGTCTCGGCCGAGGTGATGCAGCAGACGGACCTCGAGTGCCACGCGGTGCTGTTCTGGGCGCCCGCCGAGGGCCCGCCCGCCGAGGGGGCGCCCCGCGGGGGCAGGGGCGGCGTGAGCCGGCAGAGCTCGGTGGAGGCGATCCTGGGCGGCAGCTCCTTGGGCTCCTGGGCGCCCCCGGGCGACCCCGGGAGCTCCCCCCTGGGCAGCCAGACGCCGGTCCTCGGCGGGCACCAGCTGTGCACCTGCACCGGCCCTGGCCAGGCCGGTCCTGTGCCCAGGGTGCGCCTGGCCAGGGGTCGGTGTACGTGCACACCCAGACCCCCGACGTCAAGACCGTGTCAGGACGTCGGCCCCCAGAGGTCTCGACCCATTCCCTGGGGACCGGCTTTGAATCCCGAGCCCTTCTTTGATAGTCCTGGGGCCTGGGAAGGGCCCCTGGGGGCCGAAAGCGTTGAAGCACTTCCCTCCTCCATCTCTCGGGGCGCGAGCATGTCTGGGTACTTGTGCGTCCTCCCATTACCGAGCGCGTTCCACCGCTTGCCACATGCCTGCTCGCAGACATCCAAACAAAAATCAGTGCTGCTCGATGCCATGGAGCTTGCCTGCCTCGATGCGGTGGACCCAGACCCCTGGCGTCATGTTTTTTCCGCAACGTCGACGCCCAGAGGTCTCGACCCTTTCCTCAGGACCGGTTTTTCATCCTGAGTCGTTTTTCGACGGTCCCGAGGCCCGGCGAGGGCCCCCCAGAGGCCGAAAATGGCCAACAACCTCCCGTCCTGATTTTTTTCTGTTTGGCTTACCACGCGGTCAGATCTGGGCGTGGATCCACGCTATCTGCAAGTAGCTGCTCTGCGGGCCGTGGAGCGCGCTCGTGTGCCCCAGGTCACACAGCCCGAGTCGCCGCTCGACGCGCAGTGCCTTTGCCGCCCCGCCCTGGTCCTCTCGCAGCGGCCCGGCGCCGACCGCCCCGGCCTGCGGGGCCGCGCGCTGACCTCTACGATGGCCCGCGGGGGGCCGCGGCTGCGCCGCTCCGTACGCCTGGACGCGGGCGGGCTGTGCTCGCGCGTGGAGGATCGGCCACGCGCAACAGTGAGCGGGCGAACAACTGCATAACAACAACTTTTCCGCCGTCGGGGGCGCCCGTCCCTGGGCGGCTGGAAAGTTTATATACCCCTGCGTGGCACCGTGGGGTATATAGACTTTGCAGCCGCCTGGGGGGCAGGCGTCCCCGACGGCGGAAACGTTTATTATATACGGTTATTCGCCCCCTGAAAAAGGGGGTAGGGGGAGGGGGGGAGGCTTCTTAGAAGCACCCCTGCTTCTTAGACGGCGCGGGCCTTCTCTATATACGTAAGGCCAGCACCTTCTGAGAAGCAGCCTCCTTCTGAGAAGCCTTCCCCCCTTCCCCTACCCCCCTCTGCGCGCCGCAAGAGGAGCCGCTGCTGCGCACCGCCGAGGAGTCCCCCATGCTGGGCTTCTCGCAGGAGCCAGCCGGGGCCTCTCCGAGCTCGGAGGGAAAGCAAGCGCGGACCGGGCGTGAGCCTAAGGGGATCGTCTTCTTGTTCCTCGTTTTGCCGATCGGCGCGGGCCCTCGCCCTCCCCGCCCCCCCCCCAAAATGGAGCAGATCTTGGCTGTTGCTGGCGCCTGTTTCAAGCAGGTGGAGTAAGCATGGGGGCAATGGGATTCCCCATGGGAGCACTGCTCCAAACATTCGCATTAAGCATCATTTCGGAGCCAGACCCTCTCCCAAGCCCCTTTCGCTTATTGTCGAAACGCCGAAGAAGAACACATTCACAATATTTCCGCGCGGACCTGCGAGAGTTTCTGCTACGCAGCAGCCCGGAATTGCGGATAAGATTGAAGGGGCGGTTGCGGGGTGGGTCGCGGGTGGGTTGCGGGGTGGGTCGCGGGTGGTTCGGGGTTGGGTCGGCGGGGGTGGGACAACGACAACAACAAGCAGAACCCGCGCCGCGGAATCCCAATTCAGCCACGCACCCAGGGATCCCTGAGATCCGACGTTGCGAAAGCAAATTAACATCGCGAACAGTCACGGCAAGAGTCCTAGACCCTAGACCCCATTTTCCTGCGCCATTTTCCGAGCCAGACCGATCCGTGCGGGTCCTGGGGCCTGAAACAGCGCGAAAACGCCTGGTGTAAAACTTGCAACGCCAGGATCTCAAGGACGGTGTAAGACCGTTCGGCCCCCTCACCCTGATGCGCTGCTCTCTCCCTCTCTCTCTTGCCCTGCAGGAGCCGGCCAACGCCTCCGAGCTTCTGTTCGGGCCGTTGGAGGGGCCCCCGCTTGGCGCAGAGGCGGTCGGATGGGGCTAAGACGAGGATGAATCCGTCCGTTCCAGAGCGTTTTGGAACGCTCTCAGAGCGTTCTGGAACGCTCTGGGAAGGCCGCGGCGCCCGATACATCCTCGATGAGCAGGAGGAGGAGGAGGAGGAGGAGGCGGAGGAGGAGGAGGAGGAGGCGGAGGAGGAGGAAGAGGAGTAGGAGGAGGAGGAGGAGGAGGAGGAGGAGGAGGAGGAGGAGGAGGAGGAGGAGGAGGAGGAGGAGGAGGAGGAGGAGGAGGAGGAGGAGGAGGATTTTTCCTCACCCGATTTTCTCCTCGTCCTGGCTTGGGCTTAGGCAGGCTGGGACGGCCTGCAGCCGCTGTCCCTCCCGAAGGCCGAGAGCAGGGACAACCTGGAGCTAAACGCGGGCAGCAACCGGTGGCACGTCATCGCTGGGGCGGCGCAGGCTGAGAGCAGGCACCCCAGACCATGCTCCTCCGCCTCCTCCTCCTCCTCCTCCTCCTCCTCTTCCTCCTCTTCCTCCCCCTTCTGATCCTCCTTCTCCTCCTCCTCTTTCTCTTCTTACTCCTCTTCCTCCCCCTTCTGCTCCTGCTCCTGCTCCTGCTCCTGCTCCTGCTCCTGCTCCTCCTCCTCCTCCTCCTCCTCCTCCTCCTCCTCCTCCTCCTCCTCCTCCTCCCCCACCCCCCCAAGACGCTCAAACTTCGCGGTGCCCGCCAGTGCAGGGCCGAAGGCCCCCGGCGAGCGGAGCCCCGGCTTCTCGAGGCCCCGGCGGGACGGAGATTTTTCGCCGTCTTCGGCCTTCAGGGGCCCGTACCGGGCCTCAGCTGCCCCGATGCGCCCGTCCTGACACGCAACACGTGCCGTGTTCAAGACGTCGGTATCAACACGCTGCGTGTTGGCTCAGCGTGTCGGCCCACGTTTTGGCGAACCTGTCGCGCCATACGCACTTTTTCGATCTACGTGTTGAGCTCCGTGGCAAGAACGCTACGTATCGGGGCGGCTAAATCCGGAAAGTGCAAGACGTAGGTTTTTCGTCGTTTTCGGCCTCCAGGGGCCCTTACCGGGCTCCATGACCGTCAACAAAACGATTCGGGATGGAAAGCTGGTCCCGGGGCATGGGTCGAGGCCTCTGGGTGTCGACGTCCTGAAACAATGTTGACGTCGGAGGTCTGGGACTCTAGGCCCGTCCAAACGGGGTCCCAGGTATTTGGGGTCGGAGGATAGCGCCGCATCGCAGACGCATCGCCGATGCGGCTCGATGCAGAGCCTGATTTTCTCCACGCTGGCGTTGCCGATGCACCGCCGAGGTCGCTGTTACATCGGCAGAGCATCGGCGAATCGGCGCGATCCTGCGACCTCATCTACTCGGACCTCATCTAGGAGGCTAGGAGGCCTCCATAAGCCACGCGCAGACGGGGGTGGGAGGAGGGGGGAGGGCCTCTTAGAAGCACCCCTGCTTCGTAGACGGCGCGGGCCCCATCTCTAGATGTGGGACCGGCGCCTCCTAAGAAGCAGCCTCCCTCGTAAGGAGCCCCCCCCCCAGACCCCCGACGTCATTACTTATTCATAACGTCGACACCCAGAGGTCTGGGCCCCGTCCCAGTAACCGGTGTTTCATCCTGAGCCGTTTTTTGACGTTCCCAGGGCCCTGCAAGGGCCCCCAGGGGCCGAAAATAGCCCACACGTTTTCCGTCGTGATTTTTGGTCACCACGCGAGGGGATGATGATGCTGATGATGATGATGCTGATGATGATGCTGATGATGATGCTGCTGATGATGATGCCGATGCTGATGATGATGCTGATGATGATGCTGATGATGCTGATCATGATGCTGCTGATGATGATGGTCATGATGATGGATGATGTTGATGCTGATGTTGATGCTGTTGCTGTTGTTGATGATGATGATGCTGATACTGATGTTGATGCTGATGTTGATGATGATGATGCTGATGATGATGTTGCTGCTGCTGATGATGATGATGTTGATGATGATGTTGATGTTGGGTGCTGCTGCTGATGATGATGGATGATGGATGATGGATGGTGGATGAGGATGAGGATGACGATGATGATGATGATGATGATGATGATGATGATGATGATGATGATGATGATGATGATGATGATGATGATGATGATGATGATGATGATGATGATGATGATGATGATGCTGCTGCTGCTGCTGCTGATGATGATGATGATGATGATGATGATGATCATGATGATGACGAGGGTCTGGGTCCAGGCACATGCCCTACTTCAGCGAGGCCAGCGGTGTGTCCTCGCCCGTGCCGGACGAGGACCCCTTCGGCCCGCGTCGCTCGGACTCGCGCGAGCCGCTGCTCGGCCCGCGCGGCGGGCGGCGGCGCCGCCGGTGCTGCTCCTGGGCCGCGCTGCGCCGGGGCACGTGGGAGGACGCGGAGGCGGGGCTGCGGCTCTTCTCGGAGGGCGCCAGCTGTGCATTGGGGGTTATCGCAGGCCTAGAGGTTGACACCAACACCAATTTCGGCGGTGTGCCTCCACCGAGACAAGAAAATCCCGATCTCGGTGATGGCGGTAATATTCTGGCTTCCAAGGTGGCCGAAATATTACCACCAACACCGAAATCTAGGATCATCTTCCCCTGTGGAGGCAAACACGGGTGCTGGTGCCCATTTCCAGGCTTCCAAGGTTATGTCGGGCATTTCCCTCTCAACAGGAGGAATATTCAAGAAGAGTGAAATACAAATAGTTCAGGGACGATTGGTCGATTCTTTTTTGACAATGATAGAATATTTTGGTATTTTTTATAATCTAGCCCACAATCCGCTTGTAGGGGGACGTCCCCGACTTAATTTTTAGGGGAACGAAAAATGACAGAAACATAAAAGCTCGAAGGTCCGCGCGGATTTTTCTCGGATCGGCACTGGAGCCCCCTGGCGGCGCCTCCGGCACCGATCCGAGAAATCCGCGCGGACCTTTGAGTTTTTGTGTTCAATGTTCATGTCATTGGTTGTTTCCCTGGTACTGGGCTGGGGTGCGTAAGACTCGAGTTCGCAGGAGCTCGGGGTGGCCAGCGCTTCGAGGCGGGCCCGTTTCCTTCGAGCTTCGAGGTGGTCCAGCTGTCGTGGGACGCCTGCAGTGGGAGCTCGCGCCGGGTTTCAGATCGGGTCTCGTCATTTTCTGCACGGCCCGTCGGCCCAACCCGAGTCCCCCGAATCCGAGTCTTGCGTCGCCCCGGGTGTACACCTGGGCGCCGACCCTGGCCAGGCCTATCCCTGGCCCGGGATCGGTGCATGCGGTCAGGAACTTTTGGTTCGCGTGTCGCGCCGCCGGTTCTGCCCACCACGCCTCGGCGCGACATGCTATCCATTTCCCAGTCCCCAAGCTTCAATGTCTCGAGTTTTTCGCGACCTCCCGCCCCGCGGAGCGGAGCGACACGCTATCCGCTTGCAGGGCATAACGTGTTGCCGGGGCCGCCGCCGCCGCCGCGACACGCCAATCAAAAGTTCCCGACCGTATCTGCGCCGTCCTGGCTTGGCGGGGAAGGCACACGCACCGACACCGTGCCCAAGACTGGCCTGGCCAGGATCGGTGTGAGTGTATAGTTGACGCCCTCCGATTGTCTGCACGCCCTGCACGAGGGTGTATGGCCTCTACCTGCAGACGCTCGGGAGCATCAGCGCTGTCAGCGGGGTCGGGAGGCAATCTGGCCTCTTTCTGCGCCACCGGAAGCCGCGTGGCTCGCGGGTCACGACGCTCCTGTGCCTACTCTTTTGGCTCCTGGTCGCCGTGATGTTCTTCATCGCGCAGTCGGCCGTGCTCTTCCGTCTCGGTCCTAACCACTACTCTTTCTTCGCGTCGCTCCTCTGGCCTCCCTTTGCAGAGATACTGGGCCTCGTCTATGGCGTACTCTTTGCTTGCGGCGCGGCCGATGGGATAACGGCGTGTCTTTTCATCCTTGCTTCCAGCAGCAACACTGCCGTGGCCTTCTTGTGCAGGGTGCTGACGATGGACACTTTCTATCCGATTGGGCTTGTCCACCTGACGCTCGAGTACAGCATGACCCTCATGTCCAAGGTTTTCATATGCCGGCTGGTAAACATGATGATAGCGCACGCGGAGGCCGAGCCGGTCATGGACCCCTCCTCTGGCCACGAGGCCCGCAGTCTTTCAGCCGCCCTGAGGGGCATGGGGCGCAGTAGGAACCAAGCAGACCCGAGGAGGAGCAGGAGGAGGAGGAGAAGGAGGAGGAGGAGGAGGAGGAGGAGGAGGAAGGAGGAGGAGAAGGAGGTGGAGGAGGAGGAGGAGGAGGAGGAGGAGGAGGAGGAGCATGAGGAGGAGGAGGAGGAGGAGGAGGAGGAGGAGGAGGAGGAGGAGGAGGAGGAGGAGGAGGAGGAGGGAGGAGGAGGAGGAGGGAGGAGGAGGAGGAGGGAGGAGGAGGAAGAGGAGGGTCTCCGCGCATCAGGGAGGGGATTTTTTTTCTCCCGGCGCCCAGGTGCCAGGGTTTGTCAATTGTGGCAGGTTCGCGCTGCGATGCCGCCGCGGCGACCCCCGCGCGGGCGCTCCCGGTGGAGCGCGCCGCGGGGTTGCCTGGAGTCGGCCGACGTGGAACGATCTGCGCGGTCGGGGAGCCGTGATCGCTCAAGGCCGAAAGATGTGAGCCTGCCCAACTCGGGGCTGTTAGCCTCTTCTTCCGCAGGGCCCGGAGGCCACCCAGGGGTCTGCGGGGGTTCGTGGAGGCTCGCAGAGGGGAGCCACAGACGACCAATGACCTCGACCTTCGATCTTTCGTCCCTGATCTCTCGATCCCTCCATCCCTTCATCCTCGATCCTCGATCCCTTGATCCTCGATCCCTCGATCCTGCCCTCCTCGATCCCTCGATCCTCGATCCCTCGATCCTCGATCCCTTGATCCTCGAGCCGCCGCCGCCGCCGCCGCCGCCGTCGTCGTCGTCGTCGTCGTCGTCGTCGTCGTCGTCGTCGTCGTCGTCGTCGTCGTCGTCGTCGCGGGCGCCGTCGCCGTCGCTGTCGTCGTCGTCGTCCTCCTCGTCGTCGTCGTCCTCGTCCTCGTCGTCGTCGACGTCGTCGTCGTCGTCGTCGTCGTCGTCGTGATCGCCGTCGTGATCGTCGTCGTCGTCGTCGTCGTCGTCGTCGTCGTCGTCGTCGTCGTCGTCGTCGTCGTCGTCGTCGTCCGTCGTCGTCGTTGTCGTCGTCGTGGTTGTCGTCGTCGTCGTCGTCGTCGTCGTCGCCCGTCGTCGTCGTAGTCGTCGTCGTCGTCGTCGTCGTCGTCGTCGTCGTCGTCGTGATCGTCGTCGTCGTCGTCGTCGTCGTCGTCGTCGTCGCCGTCGTCGTCATGGTCGTCGTCGTCGTCGTGGTCGTAGTCGTCGTCGTCACGACGCGTACCTGCTGTAAACGGCCTTGGCTCGAGGCTCGGGTCGGTCCTCGTTTCTTATCAAGGGTTCTTTACGACGGCGCTTCGACTGCATGCGTTGGCATTGGGAGATGGCGTGCTGGACAGTGACATGCAGAGCTCGATTCGGGCACCCGGCAGCGGTTCCGTGCTTCCGCTGCTCGCCAAGATGAGCCAGGCGCTCGCCAAGACACGCGGCTCCGGGCCGTGCGGGGCCCAGGAGCGCGTGCGCCATGCGAGGCGGTGCACCTCGCCGTGCCCCGATAGGGGGAGCCGGGCGCTGGCAAGACGCGGCCCCAGGCCACGTGTGGCCTGGGCGCGCGCGTGCCGTGTGCCCGTGGGGCCGCCTCGCGCCCGCTGCCAGGGGCTGCCCTGAGGCCTGGCCGCCCCGCGCGCCCCCCGCGGCCTCGCCGCGTGAGTGCGTCGTCTTCCCGCCTCCTGTCTCTGCGGCCGGCGCTTTTCCTTCCCTCCCCCTCCTGCGTGCGGGACAATTCGCAGTAATGCCGCAGCCCGGGCCCCTTGGACGCGTGAGAGCGGATCGCCTCTGCCGCGCCGCGACACAAGAAGTGTCCTGAGACGACAGCTAGCACCCATACCTGCACGACCCCCTGATTGATCGGGGTGGACTTCTGCAAGGGCCATGGGTGCGTGCTGTGGGGTGGGGCCCCCCGCTCGAGGGGTGGCCACCTACGGGGTCCGACAGCCCGCGCCCATAACCTCGAATCGCGAGGCGCGGGTTAGTTCCCTCATGAGTATGGGTGTGTGTTGTTTGTTCATCAGTGTGGGGCCTCGCTGCGTTTCGCAGGCAGATTCTGCGTCTGCCGCCCCATTTGTCACCAGCCAGTCTTCGTCTGTTGCACGATGGACCGTCATGTTGATCCACTGGGAGGGAAAAAGGTTGTCCAGGGAAATGGGGGTGACGAGTTCTGCTGCGTGCAGCTGATTTCGGCCCCCGCCAAGCGCTTTCCTCGAACCGCTGTCGCTCCGGGCGCCGAGGGGCGCCAGGACAATTGGATACACGGAACTGATTCGCGGACTCTCTTTTGCTATCCGCCCCCCCTTCCGTCCGACCCGAAAAGCTGACAGCGCCTCCTCCTCCTCCTTTCTCCTCCTCCTCCTTCATCCCTTTTCCTGTCACGCCGTCAGACGTGTCGGTAGGGCGGGCCGGGCGTGTCGCTTGAGACCTCTTCACCGTAATCCTGCAACTTGAATTTCGCAGCAGTTTCACGTATGGAGGGCGGACCGTTTTGAAAATTTGGCCTTCGCCTTAGCGCCTCGCACATTCGCCTGCAAACTTTGCAACCGTTTCACGGATGGAGCGGGGTCATTTTCGAAATTTGGCATTCGCTTCAGCGCCGCGCACATTGGTTTCCAAAGTTTGTTTGGTTTTTACGGGTGGAGGGTGGTTCATATTCGAAATGTGGCTCTCGCCCGAGCGCCGCGCATAGTCGTCTGCAACACTTTCACGGATGGAGGGCAGCTCCTTTTTTCAATATGTGGCTCTCTCTTTAGCGCCGCGTGCATTCGTCTTGACAGTTTGTGCCAGTTTCAAGGCATCGTATGGTTGAAGTCCCGGGAGTGGTGTTCTGGTGCGGTTTAGAACTGTCGGGACGCCGCAGACACCTTGATTCGCTGCGTTGAAGTCCCAGGAATTGCGCTTGGATGCGAATGAGGATTTTCAAACGTTTGCCTTCCAATGCAGCGTTTCCCGCAATGTCAGTAAGTTGTTGTAGGGGCCCATGAAGAGGGAACTTGGAGGGAGGGTTTATTGCAACATCGTTGACGCTTCCTGGGTTTACACATCTTCGTCCTCCTCCTCCCCCTTCTGCTGGTCGGTTGTCGGTCCATCAATCCGGCCTCAAACAACTTCTTTTCCCCCCCCTTTTGCTGGTCGGCTTTCGATTCATAACTCGGGCCTCTGGCGACAGTTCGGTACGGTCCTGGTCCCCCCCCAGGCGCCTTTCGACGCTGGGCAGCTGTTGGAAAGCACCTCGGGCCCAGAATCCTTCAAAAACATCCAACAGCTTTTCAATCCTCCTATTCCTCGTCCTCTTCGCTAATTCGCCCCGTTCGCCCGACCGGAGAAGCCGACAACGCCTCCTCCTGACTAGGGGAAAGGAGCCGCCAACAGACCAAGAAAGAGGCAGTTCTCCAGGGTTGTCACGTTTTTCGCTGGAGGAAAAACCCTGGCCGGGCCTATCTTGCTCCTCCTCCTTGGTCATAGTTCTTACCGACGTGTATCGATCGGGATGAACAGTACAAATGCATGCAGAGAGAGTCACGCCACCAGAAGAAACCACATGTGACAAAGGCAAGGTTTCGCTCTACGACTATGGCTTTACAGCGTACGGCTGCAAGGCTCACCACCAGAAAGGCGTTATCCGTTCCCTGGGCCACACATTGTGGGATGGAGGTGCCTTCGGCAAGTGACATCAAGCGTTGGATATCCCAGTCAGCTTGCCTTCGGAGAGCCGACCGAAGTTCAATAAAAACCCGAACAACAAAATACAAGGCAGCAGGCAGCCTTTCGCAGACGCAGCGCAAACCTTGATCCACAAATACGATAAGGGTTCGACCCCCTCGAACCCGATCTGGTGAACGCGTTACCGGAGAACACGACGGCTACCGCTACCAACGCGACCTAGAGTATTTCGAGTACGACGAGCAGCATTTCGACATCTTTCAACATACCTGCAGAGGACCTGGGACCAGGCGCGATTGGGTCTCTCTCTAGTATCGGACTCAGGCCGCACGCGGAATCGCTTCGTTGCCACGAGCCCCCACCATGTGTCCCCCAGGAGGTAGGTCCCTGGCCAGGACAGAGGCTCGCTTTCCCAATCTCACACCAGGGGCTCGGACGAGATTGCGTTGGCTAATCATCAGAGCACTCGGGACTCAAGTGAAAAAAGGTTAACGCGAGAGATTGCGTCAACACCGAGCTCAGCCCCACTTTCTACGTGCGACCCGGACGCTGGCGAGCTGCTGCGTATCGGGAGCGGCCGTGCGAGGCTACCGTCATGGCGCAGCTGTTCGGCGAGTGGGTCGCCGCGTTGGAGCAGCCATCCTGCGCCGCGGCGATATCCTTGAACATCGTCGCCACGAGTACCAAGGACGAGCGCAGGGATCTGACGTAAAATGGCAGAAGGTCTCGCCGCTACCAGGAAGGCTGCACCTACATCACCAAGGAGCAGAATGGTAGACAATCGTGCGCTCTACCCTGGTGGCGATCAACACCCGTGCCATGCGCGACAATGACTTGGATCAGCTCAGCCAGCGCAAGGCATTTTTCTGTGAGAACGGCGCCGGAATACACTGCGCCAGCAAGCGCAATAATGTCGAAGCTACCAACCAATGGCAGCATAACGTGAACGTCAGACATATTCAGCCAAGTCAGGCAAGAACGGCAGAATTTCACCGACACCGCGATACATTTGGCAGGGCAAGCGGGTCGACTGGCTCTTGTGGACGGCCGTAAGGGCGTCATTGTTTTGGTACAGGACGCGTGGAACATGTTAGTCGGAGCATTGCGGAGATGTGCAAAATACCCAATACTACCAAGGTTGGAGAAACTGATATGGAGACCCCAGAGGCATCGTGCAGTTGAAGACGGGGGCATGGAACCGCAAGTGGACAGCGAATCTTCCTCGACAGCAAGCCTCTCGGCAAGCAGTGCGCTGATGCAGAGATCTTGCCCAAACTGAAATGCTCGGGCCGTTCGCCGTCCCTGCGCCCAGCGCGGCCACCGCAA